GTCACTAAAAGACATTGAGGCAGACCTACCTTCCAAACTCATTTCAATTCCTCTAACAATGATTCCTGGGTTTGTGTCTGCGGCTATGTATTTGGTACACAATCAAGATGGCTTGCCCACTTGGCCACCAACTGTAATAGATGGGAGGAAGCTGGAAGTACGACCATTTTCGAGCAAGCTTCCCCATAGTCCATGAATTGCTGGCATGAGGAGGGTTGTTGTTTCTGCCAATATCGGTGTCTTCGGTTCGGGGGGGTCCCCAGTCTGTGAGATTTTGAGACAAGTCCATATGTTGGGCAGCACGGAAGGAAAACCAACGTGCCATGTCAGGTGTTAGGCACTCTGCAGCAGCACACACAGATGCTGCAGGAGCGCGTTCTTACCTTGTACACGGCCATTTCCAACTCCCAGTTGGACACGTGTTTGGACGCTTTATAAAAGTGGGGAGTCCCATTTTCGAATCTGGCCGTGCCTGTGCTTGCAAGCCTTTCATGTTGCCAGTGCACCTGACCGTTTAACAAAACCCCTCAGTGTTGCCACGCTGCATTCTGTTTTTTGGAAGCGCCGTTTTTCCCGACTGTTTTGACAAGATAGAGTGCATGCTCGCGCTATGGAGGAAAGGAACATGCGTGGCGCTTCTCAAGCCTCCCCAAACACCAAAAACCAAAGGCGCCCCCACACCCCTAAAAAGGTTCTTACAGACGTACTAAAAGGATGTTCAGCTGACACTCTGTTTGGTGGGTAAGGGGAACCGTAGTGTCCCTTCGGAGTGTTGCATCGGACATTGCCTGCAGTTGAAACCGTATCGAGCAGTAGAATCCCCACGTGAGTTGTTCTTAATTTGGCTGGGTGGGTTTCTTGCGGTTTGCCCTGAAAAACAGCCTGCGAATGGGATACCGTCACAAAAGACACCCATGTGAGTTATTGTGTTAACACCTCTTCAGTTGTTTCTCCTCTTTGGTTGCAATGGGTGTCTGCCCAAACAAAAAACATATTGTGTTGACTCGGTGACGCAACACCAGCCATCATGGAAGGGATTGGTATCCTCCTACCAGCATGGAATTGCACAGGCCCCTTTTGGCGGACTGCTTTTCTTGTGGAAAGGGAGCAACTGTGTGCCACGTCATGTTTGTTGGGGGTACCAGGTACTATGTCCAACAATCATGTAGACAGAAGGCCTCAAGATGATAGTCTTCGTTTCGAACCCCTCCTGTTCACCTTCACGATTGGAAAGAGGGTATCATGTTTTGTTGGCTCGTGCGGGTTGAACCCTACCACGTTGGGGGCCCCAGGTCTATCCGACGCGCCTTTCAAAACACCTTCCAGGAGCAGCGAGAGCTTTTGAATCCTAAGCCCTGCCTGGCAAAGGCGAGTGAGGCGCGAGCAGGGATAGAGATGATTATAATATGAGGGGCAACATAATTCTATCAGTTTGCCACCAGATTAGAGTACCCCATAAACCCAGTTTAATTCGAGCGGCCCCTCATAGTAGACATTGCCAGGCCGTAAACCCTCACTGTCCCCACGGTCAAAAAGATTGGAACCCCGAAATGCTGCATTTCCATCGGCTTTCCAACTTAAAGCATCCTAACAGCAATGCTTAACAAACTTGTTGCCCCTTTCCGGTTTCCTTCATTTCCCCTTTTCAGAAAAAGCAGCTTGATGCAGGTTGTCCACTCGTCTGGCCAAGTAAAATGGGGCGGTGTTATTTGCAAATAGCCCCCCAAAAGTGTGGCCACACGCATTTTCCCTTGCTGTATGTGTAGTTTGTCAACTTCGGATCAATCCGAAAGACCACACTCGGGGAAAGGATTCATAGGGGATTCCTTTGGTAAAAATTACTCGTGAACACCGTTCAACATGAATCCTCGTGTAAATGATCTTAACCGACCCTTACTTAAAGTCCAGGAGTCCAGGCTCCGAAAGGTCAGCAACTGTGAGTTTCGGGTTCCTTGGGCAAGTGAGATTATGATTTCGCTCCAATCAGGGAACCTTTTGGCATCGGGCGTCGGGAGTCCCTTGAATCCAAGGATCCTTTTGCCAACAGGGCAGTAGAGACTGAGCTTGAAGGATATCGTGATTCCTCGGGTGGCAACTTTTCATATCCAGCGATCAGCGAAGTCCCTTCGACGGCTGAGACTCGCCCTTCTTTTTCCCTTTTCTGATATCCAATGACAACGTCGCATTAGCCCTGATGCCTTGCGGCTAGCCCACACACTGGGGACAGGTTCAGCAGCTCCTGTACCGGATTGACACCCGGGCTTTGACAAAAGTTGTCTAAAGAACCGGGCCCTCACCACCTATAAAAGAGGCCTCGTTGTTTGAATAAGAGGTGAAACAGCTGCCTTAAACATGTTGAAACAAGGGGTTGGCTGCAAAAAGGGACTTCCTCTTGAAGTACTCAAAAGGAGGTCCCTTCGTGGCAACACTCCGAATGCAGGGGGGGGGTTGTCTCAAAATGGCGCCATTGAAGACAACACCAAAACGGGTATCAGCCTTGGGCCATTTCCCCATGGGTGTAAGTCTGCCGTTAACAATCACTCTTGGAAAAAACGGGTTCAGAAGCCACCGCACCCGCTTGACACTCATCTCAACCCAAGGTTTACACATCAGATGTGCACCAATTACGGCGCCCTCACTCTCGAAATGTTGGGAAGGCAAAACCTGGATGCTTGCCTTTTGGCTTCCCTTTGAAACCCAAAAGAAGTGGTTTCCCTTTGGTTTCCCTTCGAAACCCAAAGAGGGTAGCAGGAACCACCTGACAACCATGGCCAAGCTGCAATGTTGCCAACAATAGTTAAACCCACCAGGTATAACATTTGTATATTATATACAAGTGCTATACTGTATATACACATATATGGTCCCGGGCTCCGGGTTCCCAGTCCCCCCCCCCCCGACCCCCAGGAGAAGCCCTGCTGCTGCGGTCCCCAGACCCCGGCCACTTCACCCCCTGAACCCACACCTCGGCACGCCCTGCGCCCAAACTAACCCTAAACCAACCCTAAACTAACTCGAAACACACATCTTAAACCAACACTTGACACGTTCTGAACACACTCTAAACGAAGCCTGAACTAACTTAATCAACCCTAAACCAACCGTAAGCCAACCTTAGATTAAACCAACCCCGGAGCACATACCTTAAGCACATATCTTAAACCAACACTAAACACACTCTAAACCACCCCGGAACTACCCTAAACCACCCCTGCACCAAGGATAAAATATACACATCCTAAACCAGCACAACATACACTCTAAACCAACCATAAACCAGCCCTAAACCAACCCTAAACACATGTTCTAAACCAACACTGAACACACACTAAACAAACCCTAAACCACCCTAAACCAATACAACTGGATCAACCCTAAACCAAGTCTAAACCACTACAACCCCGCCACGGGGGGGGCGGAGGGAGGGGTGGTCTTAGACCAACCATAAAACCAACCCTAAACCACACCCCAAACCACACCACAGGGGGGACTTGCGAATCCTTGACCATATATGGCTCTGTTTCAATAAATGGACTACAGAAGCGCACTGAATGTACTTGTTTTGCTTGTTTTGGGGTAGATTTCCCGTTTTGTTTGTTTCGCTCACGGATTTTCGCATTTTCGGATTCCCCGCGCTTCCAGCGCACGGTTTAAACCCCAGCCTCCAGGCGCCCTTCCCCGGCTCGCTGCTGCGGTCGCTGGAGTGCTCCTTCCAAGCCCTGGAGCTGCGACTCGAAGCGCTTGGCGGGCTTTTCTTCAGGGCTCCTTAGAAGGCTTGTCCATTTGAACCATTGAACCATTTGAGCCATTGTACATGGCTTGTCCATTGTACATGTTGCAATCATTTGAACCATGGCTCTTTCCACCAAAATAACGGGACACTTTTCATTTACAAGGTAATGTTCAGGTGATTCAGGTGGGTAATGTAAGGATCCCTGTTCAGGCAATCCTTGGTTGGTGGTTTATGTTTGGGATCCGGGTTCGACATGAATTTAGAGAATCGGGGGGTTAAGCCCATTTCGGGCTTGTTTATTCTAAGGATGTCACCTCCCATGTTTGGGGATTTGAACCGGCTCTTAGTAAGAGGGATGGGAGACCCTTCACCGCCAAACCAATCCAAACCAGCCTTTTTGGGGTGGAAGCTGATTTGGGGGCTAGCTGACTTCTGGGGGTTTTCCAATGGCAAGCCACGCAAAAGGTAGGCGACCCATGGCAACCCAAACAGGTACCGTAAAGCACCCAATGCTTCCGGTTCCCACTTATGGAAGGTAAGGGGAAGGCATCATGTAAGCTTCGGGAGATACACCAACAAATACCTCATGCAAAACCTAAACCTATAGCTTCTTGTTGTAACAAACAAAACGGAAAAACAAAGAACAAACAAAAAAACACCCTCTCCTCTTTTAGGGTTGGTTTTTCGGGAAGCCAAAAGGAGAACGGTCACCGCTCTATTTTGACAAACCATGTGCGTTGGGTCGCTGGGGGTGGGTCCCCTTGGCACAGATGTGCTTGACACATTCCTGAAACCTCCAGAGCCGAAAATATGGAGTACTCTCGGTGGACCCCAGAAAAAGCAAAGGGGGGGTTCCTGAACGAAAAACAACAGGTTTGCGTTGAGGAATATAAAGGTTTGGGCAACCTTTGAGCGCCGTTTATGGAGATACCCCTGTCGGTTTCACCAAAAGTTTTGCCGGAATCGACCGATTTCTCCCACGGCGATCCGGGTTCTTGGGGGTCCATTCCTTGTACAAAATCGGTTTTCAGGGCCGATTCCTGTGATTATTGCAGGATCTTCCTTAGTCAGAAAGCAGTCCTGACAGATGGCCCATGTTGGTACAGAGAAAGTCACTTTCCGCCCATGCGCCCATTTCTTATTTTAGGTTCTGTGTATCCCTGGAGTCTCACACAACAGCCGATCGGACACCGGATCAAGAAACGTTTGGTGGATCGCACCGGCTCCTCCCCAAAGGCAGGAAGCACTCTCGCCGTTCGGACGATGCCAGATCGCGTCAAGCTGGTTTTCTGCGGTTGGTAGTGTTCACCGGGCCGGCCCATTTTGGATTGAACTCTCGCGCTTGAGAGAGGCCAGTTCTGTTCAAAAAGCACCGTTGGGTGGTTTGTTGACATCACCTAATTCATCTTCCTTCAGGCTGGGCCAAGAAGCTGTTCAACTTTGGAGTTCTAGCCCAAAGGCTAAATGGAAAGGTTGAGCTTGAGCTTCCAGGGGTGTTGGCCCACGCGCTGTTTCACTTGGGGTCCCTTCAAGAGGAACGCTGTGCCACATCCTACAAAGTCGACTCCCTGCCCTATGACACCTTGTCACGTGTGTGTGAAGACGTGAAGTTGCCATCCCTGGAGCTTGCCGTACCAATTGCCCAGGCAGATGAAGCCTTTGTTGGAGCGGAGCGAGGCGGAGCTCAAGGGCGTCCAAGAGATGAGAAAGGCCTGGTCGCAGTTGCTTCCTACCGATCAACTTCGGTAGGGGTGGGCTTGCTTTAAAATCAATTCAATAATTTCAACCAAACCCTTTTAAGTTCAGCTGACGAAAAGAGACCCAACTTTTGGCCCCCAACAAGTCCCTTCAACTCACAAAACGAGCGTTAATTGTTGTTGGCAATCCACAGGCCCGGCAATCTGTTTGGGGTTGCTTGCCGTTTTTGTTTTGAGATTTGTTGAGGGGAGAACCATGTTCATGATTCATTGTCATGCTTCACCACCTGGTATGTATGAAGCCAGATTTTTACCAACAACAGGTGTTAGGTCAATGTGGTTGAGCATAGATGGCACCCGGCTTTAGTTAGGTTCCAGGCATGTATGTCCATCAACTGGAACCATGGCCTGTGTGACACCGTGAGGAGCTGCCCGGCCATGACTCGGACACCCCGAAGCCCGTGTCCAAGCTGCCCCCGAAGGAGAATTCAGAATTGAAGCCTCGAGTCGTCCCTCGAGTCGAGCGCCGCTGCATTGCTTGTAGCTTGTGGTTGCTTGTTTTTTCCACGGCATTGTTTGTTCAAAGACATGGTTGTTCATGTTCAAAAGAAGCCCAAAAAGGAGACAGTGGCCAATTTTCCGGGGTCCTCAACTTGTGGGGAATACTCAGCGAAAGGCGGACCAAACATGGAATCAATTACTGTATTCCGTGTGGGGAGCAATGATCGGATGATCAGCCCAGGTGTCAAAGTTGGATTTGGACGGCTTCAAATTTGCGCTGGTGGACTTAGCTTACCTTTGACTGTTTGCCTTGTTGATATTCCTTCATTTTCATGTATGTTCTCATGCAGGAACACAATATTTTTTTGGTGAGGATCTAAGTCCGGCCCACTCCTTGTTTAGCCGCTGGCAGCCACAGAGCACGTATGTTGCAAATGCTGTGGGTTGTCCTATACAAACAGGCATCGCGCAGGCTGAAACCGGACTTCGAGCCACGCAGTTGCGGAGTCGTGTATGAATGGATCTGTGAAGCAGCGAACAAGAATAAAAGAACTCCCGAAGACCCATCAAAGCCACTGAGCAATTGCTTCGCTGGGTTTAGGAAGCCCATCGTTCAGGTTCGAATCCCACTTTTGGAACAAAGTTCTGAGCCACACTCAAAGCACTTTCGCGTAGATGAAGGTCAGCAGGGGCGGTCCTATTCACAAGCGGGCGGGTACCCTTGTTGCTTGCATTTGTTGGGCTGACTCCTTAGTTTTGGCTTTGTCTTGCTTATGACTATTGTATCGAAGGACTATCCTGTCATGTTGCCATGGAACGTTTTCTTCAGGGACCTCTGAACTGCATATTTGTTTTACATTTTGAGGTCTGACTCGTCATTGTTACTCCCCCCTTCTATAAGGAGGTACCCAGAAGCTCTTACTCCCCAAACGCCATCAACTCAAAGGATACGGGCATGTGTCGAAATAAGATGCTCCCCAACAAAAATAGTTTGCTTTCTTTTGGTGTCCTTTTGGAGCAAGGTGAACGGGGTACCGTCGAGAGACACACCTGCTTGGACATATTAGCTCCGTCCGATGCTTCCCGGACCCTGCAGGACCGGAACGAGAGCGACTTCAGCGGGCAAAGGCTGGATACCCATTTCGCGAAGATGAGCCTTGAGCAGCAATTGACCGCGTGCCCTCCAGGTACTTGGTTTTTCTTAAACCAGCCCACAAAGGCAAATGTCTGACGATAAGGGACGCCCGGTTCTGTCTGCAACTCCTTGAAGGCTGAGTTGTTTTGCTCGTACCATCCAAGGATGTCGAGAGACCGGCTCGATCCGAGGTGCGAAGACTTCCAAAAGCGCCTGGCAGAGGTGGAGGAATTGCAGCGGAGGTGTCGAAGTATGGTGGACTGTTTGACCAGACTCCGAGACGAGGAGGTGATTTTGTGCAGTGAAGCGGTGTGACAATCTCCAGAAATACGAGGACATGTTCCGAGCCCATCCAAAACCTATTTGTTTCTTGAAAAGCAATGCCGCCAAGCTCGCTCGTTTGGATATGTGCGCTGGGCCCGGAAGAGCAAACAAAGGAGATCAAAAAAGCATAGGGCCCTTTTGCGACAGCGCCCCAAAAGGAGATTTTATCCAACTTGTATGGCTTTTGCTGGGTTTCAGCCCGTTCATTTGCAGGCGAGGAACTGTCCACACGCGATGACGTGATCCAAATTGACTCGTGGTTTGCTGAAGTGTTTTCCCGCACAACCTGAAACCAGTAACCAAAATGAGCAAGATAAACTGTTGCGGACAGTTCGTGGGGGCATGGCGGCTGTTGCGCGGCATCTGCTGTGACCGGTTCGTATGAATCTCACTTGCAACCGCAGATCGACCGGAGGACAAAACTTTTGTCCAGTGGATCCAGGCGGCCATAGATGGTGATGTTCCTGCTTAATGGGAGCAACTGGATCCACAGTTCCTGTAGTTGTTCTATGTGGGTAACCATATTATGTCGAGGGCCCAAAAGGCCGATCACCTGTTGTTTTCACATGCTTTGGTTGCAAGCGAGTGGATCTCAGCCGGTGTTGCCTTGCATATATTACGCTTTGAGCGCACTGCAGAGAGGATGGTTATCTATGCTTTGTCCCTGGTATGTTCGTGCAAGAAATAACCTGCCAACATGGAACAGGGGGTCTCTCCAGGCAGTTGCTTTGCAAGTGGCTTGGGCCGATTCTTGAGAGATGGCAAGGCTCGCCAAGCGAGATTTCTGTCTTGACGTACAGGCCCCTTGTTCACAGTTCCTTGGCCCCCCGGTTGCTTTCAATTGGATATGCACCACTCTTGGGCCAAGCAGATGGCACAAACAGCAATTCGGGAGTCGTTTACCCAAGGACTGAAAGGGGTATGTACAAACACCTTGCAGATTCTCAGCATTCGTATGCCGCGGTTGGGAATGACTGAAGATGCTGAAGCTCGGCGCGTTGCAAGTTCGGGAGTCATTGCTTTGTCACACCGTACCTTCCGATCAGGCAATCCCAATTTACCGAGGCATTTATACTCCTTTTCAGGCGGTGCCCTCACAAACGCGAGGCACACAAAAGGCCTTGATGGTAGTGTCAGGCGAGCCTATGCTAGTGTCCGGCGAGCCTATGCGCACAGCCTTGACCTGGTTGAATGAGCGCAGGCTTCCCCAAAAGGGACAACTTGAAGGGGCGGGGTATTTAGTATGTAGGTGATGAGTAGCCCGGGTATATCCCTTTGGATTAGCCCAAGGCAAGTGGGTTAAAATAATGGGTACCCCTAACTAAGTACCCTGCCCTTTCTTTCGAAGTGTCGCTGCATGCATTTGGCGCAGAGAAAAATGGAGGTGCCATCATCGCCCGACAACTTGGACATAGAATTTGCGTTTGCAGTTGAACCAGCCGAAAACGCCAAGTTCCTACGGATGAAGCTATTTTACCCATATTTGAAGGCAGGGAGAAGTAGACGTTCAAGGCTTGAAGGGAGGTGGTCATGACTTGTGAATATGGGTATGTCTCAAAGCCAAAATTTTGGACACCGGACATCGGGTGTCGCCTTTCCCTTTTGAACCGCCTCACTGTTTTCAGCTCCAGTCAGCGCATCTCGCGATCGTATCGGGCCTCGGATAGGCCTGGAAGATGAGCTGGTCTTGAACCACGAGTCCGAGGAATCGAGACTTGGCCAAAAAAAAAAGACGCCCCGAAAGGAAGCCACCCGAAAGAGGGAGGTGTTGGGTTTTTGGGTGTTGTTTTTAGCCTTGGGTAGCCTCAGCCATGGGGTTTGTTGGATTTTGGGGGTTGGCCAGACGTTGGAGCATTTTGGGAAGGGCTGCAATGGGAGAACCTCAGATTTCAGGTTGTTTTGCCTTTGAAATCCCTTCAAATCGATGCCGGGTACCCTCAACAAAAAGCACACCGTTTTTGCACCAAGCTGCTTTTTCTGGGCTTCTTCCGTTGTTTGTTTGTTGGTTCCGTGTATCCATTGTATCCCTCCTGTGCTGGTCAGACAACAATTGTGGACCGGACTCCGAATAAAGACGCGAACGGTTTGCCCTTGCCGAGTTGCCAACCTGGGCGGGGCGTGCTTCCTTCCCTTTGCAGAAAAGATGGGCTTCGGCTCACACTGTTCCGCGTGGGATCGAGTTGTGTTCGCCTGCTCGTATTTGTTTTAGTGCTAGAAACCAACCACTGGCTGTGTAGCAAGGCATCATCATTGCCTCGCCCAAAACTGCTGGGGGAAACACGTCCGAGTTGGGCCAACAGTTTTGGACGCTGGCCGCGAAGGATGGAACTTGTGAACTGCAAGTCTGCTTATAGACATGGTGGGAATCGATCAGCATCGAGAGCAACACCAATTCTCCGATGTAGTGGATGGTAGGTGGCCAATGATGACTGGTCAATGAAGTGCTGGAAGGCGTGTTGAGGGATCATTGATTCTGGCATTCATGGGGATTTGTCCAAAACGGCACAAGGCAAGGGATGAAATGGACGGTTTCAACTCCGGATGCATCCCGTTCGGAGGGGATTATATAATACATGGATCACCCCATATTTGTCAGTCAGTTTTATGAATCCGGGGTCAACTAGCATTTTGGTCAAGTCCCGTTGCATGACATTGCTTCTCTTGCAGAGGGCAGGGTTGTTTTCCGAAAGTCAGAACCTGCAGAAAAAAACCCTTTTGGCCCAGGAACTTGGAGCTGGTCTATCAAGGCGTTGCGCCTTGGCAGCATCGAAGCCGGACTCTCCAGGCCCAGGTGGGCTGCCTCTCACTGGTTTTTGGTGAATGGATTGGAGTATTTGCCCAAATGATGTGAGTTTCAGCTGAACATCCTTTACCCCATTTTTGAAACTAAGGGGAATGGGTCTGGATAGCGCGATGCTAGACTCTACTTGCATGCTTGCTGGACAGAGGGCAACATATCTGCTGGATCTTAGCTGAGATCTGTTGGAAATATCCACCTGGCCTCCATGGCCCCGAAGATTTGGTGGGGCGATGTGCCACGACCCACGACCCCGGATTTCGGAGATATGATCCCATTCCGAAGGCTCGCGGCAGGTAGGTCCCGGTAGGTCCGGTAGGCTCACTTGCGAAGGAACATGGGCCCCGTGTTGGCGGGCTTGTCACCAACACCCCTAAGTATGGTGACTGGTTCTCTTTCTTCTTCTTTTTTAATGAAAAAACAAAACAACAGATGAGAACGAAATAGGCTCAGGTGATTTCCCCAACAGAGCACGGCGCTCTTTTGCAACCCTCGCGGGAACCCTGCGAAACTTTACCCCAGAACCGTCGCGGAACCCTGCGGAGCCTTCACAGACTCCCCGGACCAACCTCCGGAACCATTGCTTGAACCTTACACCTGAACCACCCCGGAACCTCCGAGAACATTGCTTGAATCGTGCACCCGGCCTGCACAGACCACCTCGGGAACCATTGCTTGAACCTGACTCAAGAGCTCCCCCAAGCCACCCCCAAACCTTATTTGGGCTGAGACCCTTTAGCTTCCAGCTGTTGGGGAATATCTCCTGGTAGTCAGCTTAGCTTCGTCTGACACATTCCCAAAGCCCAACTGGATGATGTCCACCCAATAAGGGGGGGAATGTTTGGAGTGCCTGTCGCAGGTGTCTTTTTTTGAAGGGCTGGGACCTCGTTTTGTTGAACCAAAATTGAAAACACCACTGTGGGGTCCCCCATTTAAAGAGAAAACCCGTGTTTTGATTGTTTCTTGATTATATTTCTTGCAACTCTTTCGCCGCGAGTGATTCGTTTGGACCCCGAAAAGTGGCGAACCTGCTTCAAAACAAAAGGAGCCACACCATGGGACGCCCTCGTTCCAGGCCTCTAAGAAATGATCAACTATTATCAACTCACAAGGTAGAAACTTGGTATTTGAGTGCTTTGGTAGCGTTAAGTTTCTTTGATTCCCTTTGGTTTCCCTTTAGCAGGGGCCAATTGATTCACACTGCCGATCGGTCAACTGGGTCCTTGATTGAACAGGAGGATGTGGAGCCGGAAGTGTTGCCTCATGACGTCGGGGAGAACGCGAATCAGAAGAGGGTTCACTTCGATCAGGCACCGCCCCTGCGCCCGGATGGGATGGGGTTGAGAAGAACCTCAATGGAATACTGATGACGATGATAAGGATGATGGTGATGAGGTTGATGGTGGTGATGATGATGAGGAGGAGCGGTATTGCGCAGGCTACAACCAAACAACCCTAGGTGATAGATCATCACGCTGCCGATAGATACCATAGAATGTTTTGACACACCATGATCCGTGACCAATGTTGTGACAACTGTGAGCTATACAGTGCGTTTGCAAAAACTGAAACCAAGAGATCGACTGTTAATCAATGTCGAAAGTTGAACTGAGTAGCAACAGAAGCTTCATCTCCGACTCAAGCTGGCAGGTCTGCTTTCTGCTTCGGGTCCAGCCCTTGTAGCGCTAAGCGTCGCAAAGCCTTATTTGCAGAATGTTCTCAGCAAATCGAGTCATTGCAAATGTGTGCTGAATCGCCCTCTCTCAGTGCATTGTTCCTCTAAATGGCGCGCGCACATCATGAGAGTTAGTTCAGGCATTGATCGTAGGCTCACCAGGGAGTGAAACGAGGCCCATGGTGAAGGTTCAGGGATTCCTAGTTCAGTTTGGGGAATGCTCAGACATATCACAATACAAGCATAGTTACCGGTAGTGCAGGTTATTTCGCAGGGTGCCAGGAATTGCAAGGCCTCAGCTTTTGGGTTACATGTGTCCATCTTGTTCAGTGGCATTCCACTTTAACCTTGTAAACTTGGACAATGACAAATCCTCCCACCAACTCCCATTTCAGAGAATTCCTGCAAGTTCCTTCTAGGTGGGTGGTTTCCTTGCTAAGAAGGGTGGCCTCAAATACATGCCCCTTTTTGTAGCTAGGTCCTGTTGCTGCTTTGCATACGACGATACGATCTGCCGATGGCGAAGACACCCATTCAGGAGGTATTTCAGGCTTTGGAATTGCAAACTATGCAGACTTTGCGCAAGCGAAAGAACCCAGAAAGGGATCCCGACTTCCACAAAGGCGTTTCCTCTAAAA